CCCCCCCCCCACACACACACAGATCCCAGGCACATGGCCCCCATATCCACAGGGAGAGAAGGGGCTGGGGATGGGAGGCTGTACCGGGGTCTTCCTGGCAGGGGTTGGGCTGTGTTGTGCTGTGCTTGGGGTGGCCAGTGGCAGCACTGGGAGGGTGGGTTGTGGGGCTTTGCCAAACTTTCAGGTGGCTGCACCCCACCACCCCACTCACGGCATTGCTGCTGCCCACCCTGAGTGCAGCCTGGCCCAGCCCCTGCCGGGAAGAGCCCAGCGCTGGCCTGGCCCCAGCCTGCTGTAGCAGCCTGCCCCAGATCCGGGGGCACACACCCTCCATGCCCTCCTGGGGTATGTGGCCCCCCTCACCATGCCCCCGGATGAGCCATTTGTGGCTCTGTCCCATGCCCTGGCTGTGCAGGGCCTGCCCCTGCCCCAACCCCAGCCCCAGCCCCACTCCCTCCCTCGCCAAGGGGGCCTCAATCTGGTCCCTGCCCTTCACTCCCCACAAACTGACCTGCTGGGCTGTAGGAGGAGAGGTGCACATGCGCGCATGAACTTAGCCCCCCCCCCAGCCTCCAATTCACTCTCTGAGCCTCCACGATCGACCAATCACAATCAATTGGTTGGGGAACACTGGTCTAGGCCTAAATCTTGCCCTGGTGGACTTGGGACCTGTGACTAATTTTTACAGTCTATATGTTCTATTTTTTTATGGTTATAGATTTGGTTACTCTATGATTACTAGAAGTTATTTCCAGTCAAGGAGTGAAAATACTAAGATAAAGTGGACAATAAACTTTTTAAAAGCCCTATTTATGCATACATAAAAGGAAAATGTAGGAATCATTCACTGTGAAGCAGTGGCGACGCATAGGGGATGCACCCCCTCAGAGCGCCAATGCACCCCCTGACCGGCCACGCTCACCACTTAGGCAATGGGCAGGGGGAGCAGATGGAAGCAGCAGTTTCCCCCCTGCAAGTGCCAGCTGATCACTGTGATTGCTGTAGCTGCTTCTGGAAGTGGCTGCAGCGATAGGCCGGCGATTGCTCCCAGAAGCAGTCACAGCCAGTCCTGGAAGCGGCTGAAGTGATCAGCCACAGTGATCAGCCATTGTGGGATCGTCCGGGGGATTCCCCCCAGTCCTCAGGATCGCCCCAGGATTGGCCACAGGGGGGACCCCCCCGGCCGGCAGGACTGGTCGCAGGAGGGGCACATGCCCCCACAACTAAGGTGGCACCAGTCGCCCATGCTGTGAAGTTTTATTTTCAACTGTGTTTGTGGGTATTGAGTTTCAAGCAGACAACAGGAACAAAGATTTTTGATGTGGAAAATAAAGCAAGCCCCTGAAAAACAGAATAGGATGAGGCAGCGACTACTGGAGAACACAATGAACAGAGATTGAGATTAGGGATAAAATAGGACCACCAAACCTGAATGCAAAAGATAGGCATGCAGACCTTCTACTGGACAAAAAACCCTTATCATGCTGCATTCCTATGGTTGAGCGTGCCCATCTGGCCTCAAACATCCGGTCCCGTGTGGCTCTGGCTCAGATGTTCGATGATGTCCGCCTTATCGTCCCTGGTGGTCCGTCGAGTAGATATTCACTTTTGGTGTGTTCTTCCCCAATCCCGCCTGCCACGACTTTGAATGTTATTTCAGTGGAGGGTCCAACCACTGGGAGTCTCTCGACGGCGGGACGTCTATCCAGTGGTCTTCTGCAAGGCTCCACCTCCCCTCAACCTCGCCCTTATACCCAACCTCGACGGGTCACAGCTGTCCTACTGGTCAGGTTCCCAATCATTGAGCCCCTGCTTACTTTCGCCAGGGCAGTCCTCCCTGCCAACCGTAAGCAACCTGCGGTATCCTGCCCGGGCCACGAGGTCGCCGACCTTCCCCTAAGGCTGACAACTCACCTTGAGGCTTAAGTAACACTCAGGCTCCTTGAGCTCTGACCCTCAGCCCCTCCAAAAATGGGAAACACAAAATACAAAAGAAAATCACCGATGCCCTCCGATGGGCTCAACTGCCCCTTTGCCAGGCTCCCTCTGCCTAAGAACTACCAACCCGTCCTTGACACTATGGGTCTATGTTAGGCCCTATAAGTGGCCAGGGTAGCCTACGGACTCCACTACAATTCTTCTCCCTCGCTGCCCAGCCTTTTGTTTCTTCCGGACCACCGATGGTCCTCCGGTGAGCACCTGTCCCTACGTCGCCCACTGGATCAGTGCTATGCAACCCAGGACCATGATTCGCAGCCCCTCACACTGCCCTTGTCTCCCGTCTCCCACCTGGTGTGCCTCTTTGGCTCTCCTGGTGCCCTCAACGGTCCCACCTCGCCTGGTGCTGGGAATTGCTTTGGCCTCTCCAGCCCCTCTGCCGTAGCCACTGGCGATGGGGTCTTTCTGCACCCCTCTGCCCTTTTGCCCGGGTTCCCAATCATTAGGAGCTGCCTCCGGCTCACAGCTCCTTTCACTGCAGCCAGCAGCTTCTGGCTTGCAGTGGGCGCTGATGTGTCCTTCCCCACCGGGGACAGCAGCTTCCAACTCCTGTTGCTCCCGCAAGAGCTGCAGAGTCCCACCTCCTGCTGGTGCTCCTGCCAGCGTCCATCTGCTCCCCTCCTCATTGCCGGCGGCTTTATTTCTGCCAGCTGGCGATTGCGGTTAACGTCACCGGCCGGCCGCAACTGTATAAAGGCATGGCTGACGAGCCACGCAGGTTCCTCCTTGGGTTCCTGCTTTGTCGCGGGTCTTGCTGCGGGTAAGTATCTTCCTTTACCATTTCTCTTTTTTTTTTTTCCCTTCCCTTCTGAGGGTTCCTGACCCCAGGGCTCCCCCCTGGTATTTTGGGGTCCTCCATCTGTTTTTCCCTATTACATTGAGATTAAAGCGTACTTTGTTTTGTAAAAGCTGTTTTGCATTGCATTCATAGCACTGGCCGCATCTACATGAGACGCCTATATTTATATGTGGCTTACTCTAATAAACATTTTCTGATTAGTTTATTTAAATTTGTTTGTTTCACTGAGATTTTGGGAACCAGACTGAACCAGTTTTTCTATTAAAAGATTTCAGTGGACAGCCTAAAATACTGCATGTCACTTTTGTGTATTGAGAGAAGGATTTTCTGTACCAGCTCTATGGTGGCTCTTAAAGAGACATCCCTGATCAATACCAGGGAGAAGAGGTAATCCAACAACAATGAAGAACAACAACTTTTGAATAGAGATGTCATGAGTTAAGGTCTCAGGCCTGGTTTTAGGGCCAGGATCAATGATACCCTCAGAGAACATTCTTGTTGGTCCTGTGAAGGCATATCTTGTAACTAATAATTGGTCCACAATTGGCAGTGGTGACTTTATTAGTGCCAGCGTACCACAATTAATTCCCATAGCAGAGGGTCTAAGTACCCTGTGTTTGAAAGGGTAATAATCTCATTTCACAAAATGGGTAAAGCCTCTAGTTTTGGAAATATGTCTGGTCTCTTCCTGGCTTTTATCACAGTCTCAATCCATGCTAGTAGCATCAGTGCTAGAGTCAGTTTTCAGTCCAACAGTACCACTGGAGAATCAATTATTGTTTCTGATGTCAGCATAACAGCGGTGGGTGCCCAAGGCTCTAGTGTTGATAAGTGTCAAAGTGGCCATTTTCTTGCTTTTGGATACAGGTTTGATATCTGTTCAGAGGTGCACTCACAGAAGATGATTCTCTTAGGTCTTCACAGATGGCAGTCTCCTCCAAGTGTGAAGTGAAGTACATCAATTATTCAAATGCAGTTTCAGATGTCCATCTCTAGACTTGCAAGTCATCTAACAGAAGGACATAATCACCAAACACTTACTGTGAACATGGGCTCTCCCCCATGAAGAAAACATATCAAATATGCTCATCAACTAGGGGCCGGACAAAATTCAAGCCCCGAAGTGCTTTGAGCATGGAGACATTCATAACAGATATTTATTGACAGAGATATGTAATTAAAGAATTAGAAAAGTTAAGGAGGATAAATATAGAAGATATTCACAAAACTAATTTATAAGATGATTCTGAAGCACAGAGAAAAACAGTGGATTAGACAACAGCAGACTTCTATTTTGCTCCCACAGGTGGTAAAAGGGAATTGAGAGAGGTGTGCCGCCACTACATTTTATGTTCTCGCATAGGAATGTGAAGCAGCAGAAAATGTGCTGTGGAATATGGGAATGTTGAGTAAAACTCATGAACTATAGGATGAATTAGTTCACATGAATCACAATGAACTCTATTTTATTAACTCCAATCACAGTTAACTGTATTTTATATCAGTAGCCTTTTATCCCCCAATATTTTACAACAAAATCCAGAAACTTAATATACAGTTGTCATACAGAAATTAATAATATTTGTATTTCTGAGATGAAAGGATGCAGGGGTACAATAGTTATGCATTTATAAAAAGGGTGATTATTAGTAGACTGACTAGTAGATTCATAAATTGTCTGAAAAGAAAAATCAAATCTACAATATACTATTGTCAAATCTAATGAGTTGGATCATTTCATAATCATACTACCTTATTTGCCATTTGTAGTCATCTAAAGTTTTTCTGCTCAGTTGGCTTGCTTCCAAATTACTTTCTGCTATTTTTGTAGCATTTTTTAGTGCTTTAAGCTGAAAAAAAATTCTATGAATTATTCCAACTTTTCAGCAAACCCAATACTGTGTGTTAAAGTAAAAAAGAACTAATGATGAAAAGGCAATTTTAACTTTACTTTTTCTGATTTTTTGTAAATTCAGATCCTTTTAAACACTTTGATTTTCATTACTACAAAAAACTATATAATCAATTATCTGAGAAACCAAAGTATCATATTCAGGTCCATCACATATGTATGTGTTTTTAAAGAATGCATTATATAAAAGATTAATAGGCATGGGGATACTAAATCCCACTCTCATCATTGTATGATTAACAACTCCTAGTGGAAGCTTGAATTTCTAGCACTATGAAGGTTTTCTAGGTTGGCATGGCATACGGTGGCATGATTTTAGTATGGTCTACAGTTAAATAAAAATAGCTACAAAGAACCAGGTTGGGATCCTTCTTGCCCACATTTATGAGCAATATAATTTTACCAAAATCAATGTTGGAAACTTTGTAATCTGGCCCTAAATCAGATGCATATTCGACACTGCTTAGCTAGAGGACGTTAATTATAGAGACCTGGCTCCCTAATACATATTAGAAGATGGAACTTTTACAACCAAAATAAGAGGCATATTTTCATCATATTGAGAAATGGAAATTTATAGACAAAGTTTTTATTAGAGGTAGTTAAATATTAACTGTATCAGTAAATCTTTGTAAGCTCCCCAGCACATTTGACCTTATATGAGCTTTCAGCATAAAGAGCAATGTTAGCTTTTTAAAATTATGAAATGGTCTATATCAGATAGGACAGTATGTTAAGTACATACCAGCTGCTTACAGACATAACCCCCCCCCCCAAAAAAACAAAAAACAAACCAGCGCTTTACTTTAAACTTGGTGCTCCCCCACACCAAGCCCAGTGCATGTCCAGAAGAGGCATTGCTTTAGATCAACCCAGCTTGCCCAATGTCTGTATAGATCGGGAGCTGATTGAATCAGCCTTAGATAAAAGTGCCAAAAAGCCCCTCTGAAGCATCCAATCTATACAGATATTGAAGAGCCAAATCAAGCTAATGTACTGCTTCTTCTGGTAAAGTGTGGCTTTGAGGGGTTATTTTAACATCTGTCAGCAGACATCCTAAGAGAGAGGCAGTTATCCATGTTAGACTGAAGTCAGGCAAAAGGCAGGATAGAGATGTGTCTTATAGACAAACTCAATTAGACATACATAAGCTTTCATGAGTAGCAGTTCATTTCATCAGATCCTGAATGACTGAAGTGCATCACTCCAAGCCCGTATCTATCCCAACTATTCTTCTGTACCTCCACAGATATGCAACCTTTGGCCCGTCTCTGTCACCACTCTGCTTGCTTCTGACACATTTCTTAATTTTTTTCTCCTCCCTACTGCAAGCAAAAAAATTGAGAGAAAAGAAGTGTCTCCCTGCTTTCAATCACCAGCACCACAGTGGAACCCAATTTCTGGGCAAAGCAGCTGCAAAAAAAGACTTCCCTGCAACTCCTGAGTTGGAACATATTGGGTGTGTCTGCACATGTGCAGTAGTGCTTTACTGTGAATTAAAGCATCCCATAAAAAACTGTAACATTACACTAATGCACAGTAAAACAGTCTACTGAACATTAAGCATTACTAAAAAAAAGCATGCAAATGTACTACTGAGCATTAATGCTGCCTAATGCACATTTAGTACAGGCGACCCTCACCATTCACAGGGAATACGTTCCCGTGATCCCCACAAATGGCAAAATCCACAAATAGGGCGCTGTGTTCATAAACACAATGCCCCCGGTGGCTGGGTGGGTGAGGCATGGCTCCCGCGGAAGTGGGAGCCCGGTGGCAGCAAGCGCGGAGCTCCCGAAGAGCTCCAGTAAGTGTTTAAAAAGTGTCTTTAAAATGCAGGTTCGGCATTCACAAATATTTGAAACCATGAATGCTGAACCCGCGAATACCAAGGGTTTCCTGTACCTCACAATCAAGGGCACTTTTAAACGCGCTCTGAGAGTGGGGGGCAGTGCTTTAATTAGAGCAGCTCCAAGAGCCTCTCTAATTAAAGTGCCACAGCATTTTGTGTATCAGCATCCCCATGCTTCAAAATGGCAAAGGCACTTGAACTAAAGCTTGTCAAACCTTAGTCCAAGCACCCCCCACTGCCATTTTGAAGCACAGGGATGCTGATACACAAGACGCAGGACACTGCTAGAGTGCAGTAATTACCATGCTCCAGCATGCTCAATTTATCTAACTGATAAAGTTGTTTTTGATATCTAGATTTAGTTATGATGTGGCGATTAATAAAGTCTGCTCCGACACACTGTAATTACAGTACATTGGAGCAGCCTCCGTGCTCATGTATAGGCACCCAAAGGTACTAAATTTAATGAGCATTAGAAAAGGCATATTAAATGCATGTGTAGAAGCACCCATTCAGAGCAGACACAATTTTCAGATAATTTAGCCTCTAACAAGCCCCAACTGAGCCTGTGCAGATTCCTTTTCAGAGACATACAGATTTGTTTACTTTTAGGTGGATTTTTAAAGGGACTGGGGTAACATACCCCCTACCACCACCACCTCCAAAGCTTGGAGGCAATGAAATGCTTTTTCATTGAAATGTTTGTAAGAATATTTTAGCATTAGATAAAAATATTTTTAACAAATCCCATTCTCTTAAATAGATTGTCTGTTTTTGCTTATATTTTCCAGAAAAACTCAGCTTGAGGCAAAGAGCCAGCATTGAAAATTTCTGCTCAAATATTCACATTTGGCAAAGTTATAAGGAACTGAAAGCAGAATACTATTCTTCTCTTTCATACTTCATTCCCCCCTCTACACATCATTAATGTGGCAGAGCCAGACAACTGCTTTATTGTTGATGCTTGCCAGGTCCTCATCCTGGATGTGCAGGTATGCTGCACATGTGAGGAGGTGGGCAGCAGTCTGTGGTCTATCACCACACTCACATAATGGACTGTCAGAATAGCAGAATAATATGATGGACAGTGTTGGAAAAATTTAACTATGGACTTCACTGACAGCTCCACCTACAGTTCACGAATACAATAAATGCATATACTTTCTCCTTCACCTTTATTAGGTTTGAAATTTTTGACATTAAATAAAGTAAAACATTTTCTTACTTTTTCAGCTAGCAAGAGAGTTATGTTCTGCTGTTGTCTGTTCTTGAAACTTTCATAAAGTTGGAGTAATCTAGCAGCTAACACATGCTCTCGATCAAAAAGAGGATGGTGGGTGAAAAATAAACTTGATATATTGAGATCTAATTGATAACGCTGTTTTTCATATCCAGATTTATTTATGATGCGGCTTTCCCGTTCAGGTTGCATTGCCTATTTTTTAAACAATAGTAGGCCTTTATGTTATGTAGCTTATGTATTTTATGCAAATACATTTTGCAATGCAGCATTACTTAACAGTAACTGTATTTGCCAGACCTTTTTTTTCAAATCCAAACCTTCAAACTCAAAATACAGAGTGATTTTCACTAGTTGCACCTCCCCAAGGAGAAGTTCTTAACCTTAAACAGCAGCTTGGATAATTTCTAATTATGAAGCCAGGCTCTGGAAAAAACAACAACATAGCTTCGCTCTCACAGAGGACAATTAACAAGAAATAAGCTTATAATTTATCAACTTAATAAGAATAGAGTTTTCATTAATATAATGCTGAGTCAAAACTCAAAGAACTTTAATAAAACTGGGTGTCACCACCCCCATTTTTAAAGATAGATAAAATGAGGCATGGAAGTTTAATAATGTGTCCAAGATCCCCCGGTTAGTCAACTGTACAGCCAAGAACAGAACACAGTCCCTTATCCTGTATATACAATATTAAGCTAAAACCAACTACCCTGAAGTTAGGTACCCATATGCTACTAACTGCCATAGCTAGGCTAAATACAGCCATAGCTGGGCTGATTTAACAACTGTGCAGATATCTGTAAGCTAGTGCCTCAACCTTCCCTTCTTGGCTGAAGAGGCAAGGAGTTTCACAATGGTATTTATGTGACAAATCTGCAGTATTCTGGAGCAAAATACATAGAAGTTAGAGTGCAAAATACAGATCTTCTTTAACAAGCAGCATAGGGAAGCAGATGAGTGTCTGGGGCACAGGGACAGTAGCAACTGCCAGTTGCTGCTGCAATCGTGATTGTGCAGCTGCTGACAGCAGCCTTTTTTTGCCCCTCCAAGTCAACACCCAAGGCAGTCGCCCTGTTCACTCTGCCCTAGCTATGCCACTGCCTTTAACTCAACTGGTAAAACTACAAGGCAGCACCACCTCAGCAAATAGTTTCATCAGTGGATTGAAATAAGAGCCAAAGTACTCTATAGTAAGTGAGAATAGGTCTAAATTGTGTCCTCAGCACTAGAAGGTGATGCAGAGCTCTTATATTAGCATCTGTAAGAATCCTAAAATGTTATTAAATACTAGGGCTGTGTGAAGTTTCGGTCCCTTATTCAATCTGGCGGAGATTCAGCCTGATTCCCAAATCTGAATTGAATCAGGAGACCCTCTAATCTCTCCGAATCGCATCAGAACCCTCCAAATCAATTCAGAGAGTTTCGGAAAGATTTGGTGATTCAGACATAGACACAGCTTTAAATGTTTTTTCTACATACCTCTAGGTAGCAGGTGGCTCGTGACTGCTGTGATGCTGGGGGGCACGGAGTGTCCCACAGAAGCACGGGGGGCTCCCCAGTGCACTTAGCAGCAGACCCAGAAGCACTTCTGATCCACTTCTGGGTCTGCCAGAGAGCATGCTGGGGGGTCCTCCCAAGCCTCCCTGGCTCAGCAATTGGTGCCTCCCGGGTCTCGGGGGGGGCACCCAGGGTCCCCCCATGGCCGATCATTGAGCTGGAGGGGCAGGGGGGCCACCAGCACACTCCTTGGCAGACCTGAAAGTGGACCGGAAGTACTTCCAGTCCACTTCTGGGTTTGCTGCCAAGCACACAGCCCCCCCACCCCCACTGACACACACATACACACACACTGCTGTGGGACACTCCATCTGCCCCAGCATCACAGCATTCATGAGCTGCACCTGGTACCTCAAAGTATGTATAAAAAATATTTAAAGCTGTGTCTACATCTGAATCACTGAGTCTCTGAATCAGCATTGAACCTTCAGATTCAGATTAGGCCGAATCGAATCGGGAACAGTGATCCGAATCAACTAATCGAATCACTGTCCCCAATTTGGGCCAAATCCAAATTGAATAGGGCCTATTTCACACACCCCCTACTAAATACTTGTATATAAATTCTGTTGATTCTTTGTGACAAGATCTAGGTGTGACCCTATGGTCAGAGAGAATGAAAGGTAGAGACATAAGATCTTGAAGGAACTTCTAGAAAACAATCAGGTTTAGGGAGATAGTATAACCTGAAGCTTGTTACTGTAAAGCTAACTCAAAGGAAAGAATCAATTTCACCGACACTGTACTTTAACTTTATCAGTAGCTGGTTGCAACCACTACAGGCTTAAAGAAATCAAAAGTATAATTTAAATAGCATGCTAGGATTAAATTAATCCTAAAAGAATTGTTTTTATATGCTTAAGGAAAAGTGAAAAGATCTTAATTTCAATGATATACTGCACATCCTTACCATGCAGAAAGTTATTTTTTTTCCCCAGTGAGTGATGAATAATTTATCAGTAATACCAAATGATGACATCTAAACTAAATGGTCTCCATACTTTTATGTTCCCAACATTTAGATTCATGCTCCAAAACAGGTACCAGTTGTATAATTAGGGGTGGACAAGAGGGACACTTGCCTTGAGCATAAATTTAGAGGAGGTGTCAGAATGGGAGCCTGTGCTGCATGGACTGCTGAAGACCTAAGCTCCTGCTGTGTCAGAGGCTTCAGCCAGGGTGCAGTGACCCCATGCCTAATAACAGGAACCATAAGCTCCTGCTGCATTGTTTGATGCACTCAGGACACAGTGACCTCCACCACAGCATTGGGACCCAGGGCCTCTGAGTCTCCTCAGAGGCGAGGTAAAACTTGCTCAGAATCATCCTCCCTCCATACAATATCCCCCCTCTACTCTGCCCAGGGCACCAAAATAATTAGTTATACCACTGACAAGCACCATCCTTTTAATAATATCTAATGAAATATTCTGCCCTACAAATACCAGCTGGTGATTTTTGTAGCATTATATATTTAAAAGATTCTTGAATAACAATAGTGGCAAAAAAAAAATTGCTAACCTTTTTGTATAAGGTCTTTAATTCTGAGCCACACTTAATTGGCAATTTTTTTCTGACATTTGGTGATTGTTTGATTGGAGAAGGTAATGAAATTATTTGTCCACTTTCATCAAACCAGCCTCTTCTCTTGTTTGAAATATTTTAGAAAAATATGAAACATTATAGTCTAAATTATTACATTAACTTTTTTAAAAATTTTCATAGAGCACTATTAGCTACTGATAGAACTATACATTTACCCCTTCTTCTTTAAGAAGGCGATTTTCCATTTTGTTATAACTTCTCTTACAAATTTCTGGTTTTCTTGGAATATAAAATCCTTCATCTTCTAAGACACGTGGCATAATTTCTTTTGGTAGTTTACAACTATGAAGCACTGAGAACAATTAAAATGTTAAACAAAATAAAAAGGATATTTAATAACATAGACAAATAGACTTATATATATCTAAAAACTAAATGTAACCCAAGATATTATTTTTACTATTACTGTGAAGTTATTGCACACAGTAAGTAATAGAACTCAAGCAATTTCTAGTACAGTTCAAACAGTCTTGACAAACTCAGACTGTTCCCAATAGAGTTAAGTCCTCACTTGAATTGTCCCTTACTCTTCTTAAGTAAATGTGGGTGTTAGGTTAACCCAGTAGGTTGGGTTAAAGCTTCTTGAAATTTGCAGCTCTAGGGTGCAGACAAAAATGCAGCTCCCGGTTGTAACTCAGAACAATTTTTGCAAAGTGTTCTGAGTTACAACGTTATCCCAGACCAAACAGAAGTTCACTGTTGGTTCTGGGGGGGACAGGGATCTAGCTGTGGCTGGGAGCCTGCAGCCAAGTTCCCATAGCAAAGGCCAGTGCTCTCTGCCACTGCTGACTGTTTTCAGAATGGGAGGGAAGAAAGGCAGTGGAGGGAGCTCATTCTTGGGGCTCCCCAACTGGTGCTGAAGGGTGGGTGAATTGGAGCCCCCCACCTCGGGGAGAGAGGGGAGGCTGCAGTACAGCAGTCCCACCCTCCAGGGGTGGCTGAAAAAAACCCAGACTGAGCTCCCTCTGCTCCCTTTCCCCCGTCCCATTCTGAAAGCAGCACCAGGCTGGAACTCAGTGGACATTAATTACAAAAGATGCTACATTTTGTAACATCTTTATCTGACACCTCATGCAATGAGAGATCAGATTTTCACCCAATTGGCCATTTTTAAAGCTATTTGCAGCTATGCACTTGTGTTTGGTCACAGCTATAGACTTTCTGTGGCCAGATCAGGCAAAAATTCACACTTTTGTTTGCACCTTTAATGATTACCTGTCATATAAAATACCTCTAAGAAACAGTTGAGCATGTTTCCAAAACAAAGGCAAATTTAAAAGGTTACGTCTGAGCTGTAACCAACATAATGGTTTAACTGGGTCACAGTCACCTACAGCATACTCTCAACCTATAGCATACTCCCAACACAAACCTACACTACCTATAGTATACTCCCAACACAAACTTAATTTAAAACAATATTTGCTTTAGAATACTTAAATTACCATGTTTTCTCAAATAAAACCTGTGCCATTTTTTACCAAAACAGGCTGGTGAAACTTGGGGTGCACATTATATGTGATAAAAACAGATCCCTATGGTCCAGAAGTTTGGTGGCAGGAGAGCTGTGGCAGCATTGTAATACATGTGTATGTATTTACAGCATCTGTAAATACAAACATATGCAGTGTTCAGATTAATAATAATCTTGGAACAGAATTTTTAGACACATCTGCCTTTAAAGAACCTGTTTTATATTTCTTTTGATGGTGAGCTCAAGACATGGGTGACTGGTGCCACCTTAGTCAGGAGGAGTACGTAACCCCCTCAGCAACCAGTCAGCCACTGTGGGGGCGTCCCCCCGCAGCCAATCTCGCCGGAGGGGGGGTTCCCCCGTGACTGATCGTGCCAACCAGGAAGTGCCCGCGGTGCTCTGGGAAGTGGCCGCAGAGCTTCATCCAGTGCTCCTGCTCCCCGGCTGGCACTCGCAGGGGTGACGCTGGTGCTCCTGCCTGCCCCCAATCACCTAAGCAGGGTGCACAACCTGTCAGGCAGTGCACCCGTGCCCTCAGTGGGTGCACGTGCACCCTCATACACACCCTACGCCTTGCCACTGGCTCAAGAGCAACCGGTTTTCTAAATTATCCCCAGCTTCCTCCTACCCCATGTTGTCAACTTCCCTTGGGCAATTTCCCTCAAGCTGTGAAAGCGTTCCCAAGCTAGAATTACAATAATTTTAAAATTATATTTAAGGCAGATAAAACAATATATGGTTCAGAACAGATGGTTAAAATGTTACATACTATAGATCAGAACAGTTAATACAGATAGATGGGAAGAGTTAACTATGAATTAGATGTTTTCCCAGCGTGACAATTTACAACAACAAAAATTATACCTGGGTGTAATCTAATTTTTGGTATGTGCAAAATTTAGTTTATTTTACAACCTAAAAGTACCAGACTAGAAATACTTGTCAGAACTGCTTATATTTTATTTGCATGCTGGATGCAACATAAATCTGAAAAGTTTATCTTTATTTAACTTTTCTAACAATGGCACATACAACAGTGCTTGCACATACAACTAATAGCAAAACACATTAGGGCTGTGCAAAGCTTCGGGTGGTGATTCGATTTGGAGTCCAGCCCGATTTAGTGGCCAAATCTCTGAATCTGAATCGAATCAGAGGACCAATTTAAAGGTTTGAATCGATTCAAAGCTCTCCAAATCTTCGGAAAAGATTCAGAGAGCTTTGATAATTTGGGCAGTCCCCAGTGGCTGCAGCACACAGCTGCAGCTGACTCCGAGCTGACTCGGAGCGGGCTGGGGATGGAAGGCTGGGGGAGGGGACCATGGGGGGGCCCCCTGCCAGCCCCCCTGACTCTCCTACATGGCTGCCCCCCCTCACCCCAGCTCCCAGTACTTTAAAAAAAAGTCCAGGGTTTTTTCAGGTTGTTTTTTTCTTAAAGGGCTGGAGCTGACCCAGGCAGGGTACCCATGGGGGGCCTCGGGGAGCAAGTCAGGGGTTCATGCAGAGCCCCCTACACAGTGTGGGGCAGCAGGGATCCCCCCTACCCGGCAGCACCGGGGCTTTTTTTTTTTAACATGTGTCAGGAGCTGGGGCAGCCATTGCCAGGCTGGGAGAGGGGCAGGGGATGGGCCTGGCTGATTCAGAGATTCAGCTGCTGCTCTGAATCAGATTCAGCCAAATCAAATTGGGACAGCGATTCGAATCACCGAATTGAATCACTGCCCCCTGAATCGACCAAATCTGAATCCAAAGCAAATACTAGCCGCTTCACACAGGCCTAATACACATGCTATTTTTCTAAAATTTAATCATTTTCCAGTTTTTATTTCAGCTGCATAATACCTGGAGAACTGCTTGGCACAAAAAGATATTCCCATTGTTTTTTAATCTGTAATTTTTTGCATTCAAACTCAGCAGGTTTTACTTCAAGCAACTCTGGCAATAAACTTTCTTCTTTTTTGTCAAGCAGAGGACAGCTTTGATCATTCAAGTCTGCAAGGTTTTGATGATTCTCTTTTGACTTCTGCAGTTTAAGAAAGTTTATTTTATGCACAAAAATATTAAGAGAGAAATACCCACATTCACATATAAAAATCACTAGATAAATAAATCTATCTTTGCCAAAATAAAAACAGATCTATTTTCCTAATCATCATGCTTTGTGCCATGCCACATATTCCTAAATTCCTAAATACAACTATATCTATTTATTTGAAAGAACTGAGCAAGGATCACGCTTTTCTTTTAAACAATGGTTGAAAGAGGAGTTAGTTGTGTGCAGAGGAGGATCCAGAGGGAGAATGGTAGCACAGTCACTCCCTCTTTTCAGACCACACCCAAGAAACAGCAGGCTGAGACTTTTTAAAGCTCCCAAAGTAGGTAAGAATTCCTACTTACAACATGTTCCCTCCCATTCCCTGCTTCACTACCCACCACTACCATTATCCTCAGTTGACCTGGGGTGGGGGGAGCTCCAGAGCCATTTCTTCCCCTCTTCAGCTGGGCTGTGCAGGGAGTGGGGCTCATCTGGGAACAGCAGCGGGTAGGTTCTGCCTCCCTGACTGGTCCCTCAGCTGTTCCCTGCTAGCCTGGGAGCAGGCTCCATTAGAATTCTTTTACAACCCAAAATGACAGTAAGGTAGGATTACTTATTTTAGTCAAGAAATGATTAATGGTGACTTCTTAAGATAACTGTATATTGTATAGAGCTCAGGTATTGACACCCATGCAGCTCAGATCTCATGTACTTACTATAAAATTATTATGCAAGAGATAGGCACCACCACCACCAGTCATTTAAGTACCAACCTTCTCAGTGCTTTGGCTCCTGATTGGAAGAATGAACCTGATGTGCAGGCTCGAGTCAAGTGCCTAAGTTCTACAGTGGTATAGGAATTCATACATACACATCCCTGCATCTAGTTAATTCTATTAGCTAGTTCTATGTAACTCTATGCTCAGCCCCTAGACATTCTGAATATCTCCTTGAAGGTACCTAATTCTCCCAATTCACTATATACAGATCACATACATTTGGTTCATCCTCCCAGGGCAAGACACCTGTTATTTAGATTAACTGAAGCCTATATGAAGGTACTTTTGGGATATCTGATGTGAATCTGGCCAAAGAATGTTATCTTGAGAAGCTTTTAACCAAATTTTTAAAAACAAAAATGTGATCAACAATATATTTTTGGAAGATTAGGGGAAAATGGACTCATGAACTAAGAGAAGATACAATAAAGCTTCTGGAAGGAAATGTTATATTTTATTTTACAGGTATCAATTATATGTAACAAAAATCTAAATTATGAAATTAACTTTAAAAAAAAATATTTAACTCTTCTGTGTACAATGACTTGCAATATCAGCACAGCAAAAGAAAAAATAACTGAAAGCTAGCTCACTGAAGAACATGTTGAGGATTGTAATCACTAATAGATGGTTAAAAGAAGGTAGAATTAAATGAATTAAAACAAAAGGAGGGGAAAATTATAAACTGAGATGTTCAAAGAACTAGTGAACTTCCACGGGAGAAAAAAAAAGGAAAATACTAAACCTGGTTAATGTTTTCATCCAAAATGGTTAATTCTGAGTTTTCTTCACCAGTTGTCATAAAAAATGTAAAACCTTCATCTGATATAATTTCTTTCTAAGGAAAACAAGTATGAACACAAGTCTTTAGCAACCATTATTGTTCCATAAGTAGGTAGTATTTTTTTCAGCTTTAGTAGCCTAAAACTATCTTAATTTTCAGTAACATGCAATAGATAGGGACAGAACTAGTATCTTTAATTGACTGTTGGTCATATGCCAATGCTATTCTCCAGCTCTGTAATAGATTAAAATGTTATTTTAGATGGTTACCACAGGCAATATTGGCAGAACTAGAGTCCTACAACAATCTGTTATAGAGGTGCATTGATACATCAGTCCAATATCAGATCGGCACCAATACAAGGAAAATTGACTATATCGAAAATCAGCCTGATATGGCCGATAATTTTGCCAATAAATGGCCCGTGCATGAGTGCAGCCGCAGCGCAGCACGTAGGCAGCAAGGAGCAAAGCCAGGCAGCTTGGAGAGCTGCATGAAGCTGGTAAGTCTGATGTGGTGGAAGAGGATTCATACATTCATAGATGTTAGGGTCGGAAGGGACCTCAATAGATCATCGAGTCCGACCCCCTGCATAGGCAGGAAAGAGGGCTGGGGTTAGATGACCCCAGCCAGATGCCTATCCAACCTCCTCTTGAAGACCCCCAGTGTAGGGGAGAGCACCACCTCCCTTGGGAGCCCATTCCAGACTTTGGCCACTC